CAGGGTGGAAGCTCTTGCCTCTCTCCACCTTTCTCCTTTCCTTCCCCATCTGTTGTTTTTTTCTCACCCACAAGGAGTCCTCTGCCCTTCCTGGTGTACATGCTCCTGGCCTGTACTTCTCCACTTCCTCTCCCACACCCTGCATCCCATATGTGGAGAAAGTGAAGGTTCCTGTGGCCAGGATTCTCACTTGGCCCTGGTCTGCTTGCTCACTCTACATGTGTGGGCAATACATTGTTATTGAATCTATATAAAGAGCTCCGCCCAGTGCAGCTGCTGCACAGCTGCAGGAGAGCAGAGACTGGAGTGGTGGCAGTGCCAAGGACAGAGACTGAGACAGCTGTGGGGGCAAAGAAGCTTAGAGGCAGAGACTTGATTGCTGCATGCAGACTTCCTCTGAGCAGACGGGATTCTAGTGACTGATCTGCCATTATGGAAATAAAGTTGGGCATAAACTCTTTCACCCCAAGAACATTCCACTGTCATTTTTTTGGTCTCGTTGAATCTATAGTGAACTTGTCCAGGGCTGAAACCCATTGGCAAGACACCATACAATTCTCAGGGAACAATCAGACAAAAGGGGAAGAGGAGAATGGGGAGACCAGAGGATGTTAATATAGGATAAAGCTGTGAATACAGATGTTAAAACATTTTTTATGGGTGTCTATTATCTCCTTCATCTTCTCAGTAACCCTCAGAAGTAGGTGATCCCATGAAACATATGAGAAGGTGGAGAGTTAAGGGGTTCAGTAATTTGCCAGTAAGTGGAAGAGTCAGGATATAAATCCAGGGACCTATGACCTCAAAGCCTACCCCTTAACTACCCTTCGCCTTTTCTACAAAGAAGCTGGACTGCAAAGGCAAGTATCTAGTTTCCTATTCAGATAATTGGAGTTCACAGCTAGAACTCTATTTCATCTCTTCCCAAATTTAAAAAACATCAACAACAAAAAACACTGGAAGGGAAGGCAGGGACCAGAGCAGAAGCAAGGCAGGCTGGCCATACAAGGAAGGCATTAGGTGAACTTGCTGCAGCTGGCAATCTATTTTCTTCCAATTTTCAAAAAAATACAGGGCAAATGGACACTACATTATCTCTGCCTCCCATTTGCTTGTGGAAATCAAGCTTTTAATGTAGCATCAGGCCCCCTAATGCAGGGCCCAGAAAGGTTTACGGGTAACTGACATTTTTCATTGTGATGATATGGCTGTCATAAAAAAATATATATATATATAGTAATGAAAATTGTCTATTAAAATGATTTAGATTGTTGGAAGCATTTTAAAGTTATATTTTATAAACAATGGACCCAATGTGGGAATTCATGAACTCTTTTGAATCATCTACTTGGGAAAAGAAGAGAGAAAATAAGTCATATAAAGGGAAATTATTAATAACTTTAAAAATCCTCAAGGAATTATATATTTACCAAAAAATTGATTAGAATATTTTGTTTTGATAAAAGAATGAATTTAAAGATTGGGAAGCAGAATTGAGGGGAAAAATAGGTCCATCTGAGTATAGAGAGGTATCAACATCAGGCTTCCTTGGCATCAAGACTGTAATTGCTTCTATGTAATGATTTAGTAACGATCAGAGGAGTGAAAGCTCCACGTTTATAGCTAGTACTTGGTATCTGTGGGTAATGGAAGGTTACAGTGATGGAGGCAAACAACTAAAACCTGTAAGTATGGAAACACGTGGTGGATGAACTTCTGGGTGAAATATGCATTTAGAAAAAATAGTCTAAACTTCATAGAGTTGTATATGCTTTAAAAACTTTCATGTAATAATAAAGTGAAATATAAACAAATAAATACACTGATAAAATACTGAATAGTAGATGAAGAGTTAAAAGTTGCATGTTAGAAAAAGGATTTAAGCATCAGTTGCTATATGGAGACATCTAACCATGTGTTATTCAAAGAGAACTGACTACTCTGTTCTTTCCCATTATTTTTAAACTATGTCCTCTTTCTGCAGAGTGACACAGACAGAGAATGAGAATATAACACAAGTTAAAAATTGTGTTTGTGTTTGTGTGTGTGTGTATAAAATTGTGTAACAATCTTGTACTGACCTATATGCCACAGCCAAATCCATCACCCTAGTTTGTCTGTAAAATCTTAAACTTCAAATAATCCATTCTCAGACTGTAACGTCCTATTTTTTCAACTTCTTCCTATGTTTCAATCCCAATCACGTGTTTCCCTACTTCATTAAAGTCTTCCTAATTCTCCCAGATTATCAGAAGCCTTCTGTCTTTCTATTTCCTTTCCAGGCCAACGCAAACCATATGGCTAGTCATATGAATTACAATCCTGTAATCTATTTCCTCTGATGATGTTGGAGAAAAACAGTAATGCTGTTAAAAGATAAACTGAGGCACTATTCAGATCAGGCAATGCCAAACTGAAAATGATCAGAGCACTCCTCAAGAGCCGGGGAAGTTTTTTATAAAGACGCAGAAGCAAAGCAAGGACATTACTTGATTGATTATTGCTTAAGCTATTAGCTATTAAGTTGCCTTATTTGGGAAAGCCTAGTTGGCTGTTTGTGATTGGTTGTACTCAGATTTCATTTATTCCTGTTGGAGTGTGTTGACTCTGGTTAAGGGTCTGGTGTGCTTACATAGGCTTCTACGGCCTCCTTGTTTAATTACTTTAACAATGCGAAACTCACAAGGCAGGAACTCCGGCAAACCACAGTTTCCCGTACTCAAAAGAGAACATTCCATTCTCTTAGATGTCAAAAGGCTAATCATGTCTCATTCCCTTTTACTTCTATAGAATTTTGCCGCTTGTGTTGGACAGTTTAGTCCCTAAACACCCAGAGTTCATTCTTCCATACTGTGCCCAGGTCCTGCTTATGTGATCCTCATCACCTCCTGCTGGAAGTATTGCCCTCTGTCAGTCTCCCCTCTACAGTCCACATTTAGAAGTTACCCTCCTAGAATACAAATATGACCATGCCAGCCTCCTGATTAAAGTGCTTAAATACCATCTTTTTAGGACCTACAGGATAAAAGCCCAACTCCTGAACGTGCCATATTTAAGGTGTTTCACAAAATTTCTCTATAATATTTCTTTGCATATCCTCATTTTCTGACATTCTCCACATTTGCAGGCAAATGCTACTGTACAGAAAATACACAATTCAAATTAAATGTCTTTTATCAGAACTACTAGTTGGAATCATAACTGATAGGCTTTTGAATTTCTAATTCACTTATTTGACATTTATGTAGTAGCCACTATAGGTGTTTTAAGTTTCAGAGTTTCCAATTAAAGGACAGAAAGCACTATTCCAAATAATTTTTTAAGAAGGGAAGATGTAAGTATAGCAACAGACATTTCAGTAAACTCTCAAGAGAGTTCTAATGTGGGAGAGATGGCATTTTGTTCGGTGGAAATCAGAGGAGGCTTTGTGGAAAAGGTAGCTGGGTCATGAAAGGTGAGTAAAATTTAGAAAGAGAAGAGAATGGAAGAGCATTTTAGGTAGAGAATAACACCAATCAAGGCAAAAGAAGTGGGGAAGTATAACTAGGGAATATGGGAGGAAGCAGGAGAAAGATGAAAGGCTAGAAAGGTAAAATGAGGCCAGAGCACACTAATCTTTTAAAGACTGGTTAATGGACTGGGCTCTAGCTAGTTAGCATTAGGAGTCAATGAAAATTTCTATTAAGAGATTGATGAAATTAGATGGTGACATGATCAAGTGGATCACAATGCAGAGAAAGTAAACAGCCTGTGTGTGGTATGCTGTTGGCATGTCCTGGGAGGTACGAGAGCCAGAAAGATTGCAGGAGAAATTTCAAAGCAGAATCCACAGCAGTTAGATGAGCAAAGAAAGGAAGGAGAAACAGGTCTAGCTCAGAAAAATTAAGATAAGGATTTCCTGAGGGTGATTTCCACTCTTTCAACACTAAATGCAATGGTGTATTTTTCTCTAAATATATGTATAACAATAACAATATTTTACACAGCAGTAATAGTAGTATAACTTCACTCAGGTTCCAGGACCTGATTCCCATGTGTGTTAAGTATGTGGGAGCGGGTCTTGCCATACATACTAACACCAAGCAATTCTAGAACACCAGCAGGGTGTTGGAGAACTCAACTCCATTCTGATGGTATCCACCTGAAGATAGCACCAGATTCCCCAGGTTAAAGGCTCCATCCTCCAAGACTACCCTCCACCCCTGACTCCAGATGCTAGTTGCAAGCCCCAGGCAGTGTGCCTCTGACCTACCGGCTATAGACTGGAGGTTCCCCTGACCTCCCCCTTAGGTTCTATTAATTTGCTAGAGTGGCTCACAGAACTCAGTTAAATACTTACATTTACCAGTTTAATAAAGTATACAAGTTAACAGCCAGATGGAGAGGCATAGGGCAAGGTCCCAAATAAAGGAGTTTCTATCCTTATGGTGCTTGAGGCCTGGCTGGGTGGCACGTGGAGGCGATTTGGTTTCCCAAGCCTAGAAGCTCTCTCTCACCAAGTAGTAGGATCCAATTGAGCAGACCAAGTAATGCAGAGCAGAGAGAGCAAAAGCAAAAAAGCTCTTCTCAAGGGTTTTGCATAGTCATGAATGACTACACTATTGGCCGTTGGCTGATCCAACCTCCAGCCCCCACCCTTGGGTGGGGGTCCAACAGTCTCTCATTAACATGACAAAACACCTGTTTCACCTTTAAGACTGCAGTGTTTTTAGGAATAGTGGATGAAGACCAAATATATCTGTTAAATAAATATTTGGTCATATGAATGACCAAATATGTATTTCTTATGACTCATTATGTAATAATGAGAAATTTCTGCATCCAATTAAGCAGCATTTATATTTGCATTTGCCTAAATGAGATTTCTTGTACTTTCTTTCTTTTGGCAACTTTTTAAAATACTTAATATTTAAAATTTATTTCATAGTCTGACTTTACACTTTAAGATTAATGGTTTTATTATTTCCCTTCTCTTCCTCCTCTTCCTTTATGTGTGACAGCTTCTACTGGATATGGTTGGGTCCCCTGATGAGGATCTCCAGGAAGCTGCAGCTGGTTGTATATCCAACATCCGCAGGCTGGCTCTTGCTACAGAAAAGGCAAGATACACTTGAAATGTGGACAGACCTCAAAAGCTACCAAACTTTACATGACATGGAACATACCACTCTCATGGCCAGGAAGCCTAAATTAGGGAACACTTAATAGCAAATCCTTTACAGACACATGTCTGAATGAAAACATAGCATTGAAAATGCAAAGAATGCTGTTCATCTAAAATTGCATGAATATTTTTGTTCTATTTCATATTTTAAGGATATAACATATAATGAAATGTAAGGCCAATAAATCTGTGATAATTGTCCAGGAGTTTAAGAATGTATGTACACAGTATATGTATTTCAGTGGTGCTTTTGTACTTGTCTTGATTTTAATAAAAGATGTGGCCTTCTTGTTGTTAAGTTTTAGTCATTCATGAATGTCTTTAGAATTCCCTTTCTGTTAAACCTATCTAACTGTCCTCTCAATTATGGTTTTGTCTGTTTGATCACTTGCAACCCACAGGAGAGTTCTAATGAGATGTGCTGATTTCACAAACTGTTGCTAGAATAGAATTCAAAGTTGAGCAGCTGGACCTGGAGAGATCATCCCAAGGTCATTCCAAATTTCTCCTCAATACTATCAAATATATGAGAAGATAATGTGTCACTGGCACTGTACCAGATAATGCAAATCACAAAAACATAAGCAATGAGTGTGATTTTTACTTTTGGACTTATGAAGCATAAACATTTCTATGTTTTATTTCCTTCACAGCTTTGACCAACACTTTTATTAAAGAAATTAATTTGTGCTGATATAAGGATAATATTACTTCACATAAAATGCTTTGAATTTCTGAACTTGTTTTCAGCACACAGAGTACTTTTTAAAAAGTGACTACAAAGGATTAATAGCATTTATCAGGTCACAGAAACATTAGAAGCCACTTAGAAGAATCACATATGTAACCTCCATGTACTGAAATGTTTGGGAACTAATTGTCCCAGGCATCTAATACTAGCCAGGGAAACAGCTTTGTGTGCGTCAGCCCCATAAGCCAACAATCTCAGTTAATGTTTTAAAGAGCAGGCAAGCAGGTTTTATTGAAAAATATTAAGTAATATGTATGTTTGTAATAATTTGGAGATCATAAACTTAACTGATTTAAATATAAATAGTTTATATGAAATGAAAAGCCCATACAGGATGAAAATTATAATAGTGACAGATTCTCCAATAACAATATAAGGCATCTCTGAGAATTTTAAAGTTTTGTAAAACAATTTCATCTTTGCTGCTTTTCAAAGGAGATTATAAAAGTGGATAACAGGAATAAGGAAATGGCTAACAAAGAACTGAATTTAAATAATAGTGTAAATTAAAAGTAGATTATTTCTAATATTAGTTACCATTTAGCTGTGTTTCACTAACATTAAAACTACATCTAGAAATCATGGATTATGACAGTTATCGAAAATGAATAAATATATTACTGTTATAATTAAAGAAAGTTTTCACCGTTGTCTTAAGATTTTTAAATATTTCTGAAATCAGTGGGTCCCTGGAGTAAAAAGAAGCAACAGGAAGAGAAAACAGCAGCATCCCAAAGGACCTGGATGAATAGTAGAGAAGGATGGTTCCTCTACAATATGCTTGACAGAAGAAGGAAGCTTGGGGCTTCCACTTGTGTGGTTAATAAATGCATAAAAGAAAAGCAACACTGCCATTTTAAAAGAAAATAAGCATTTGAAAACAGATAATGGAAATTAACATGACAATCTTCTTGTGTATTTGTAAGAATATTTTAAAATTCCTAACCAGAAATGTAGTACGTTTAGAGTAAACAAATCAGAAGCTGAATTTAAAAGTTATTTTTTGGAGTGTGTGCATGCATGCATGCATGTGTGTGTGTGTGTGTGTGAAATGGCATAACAGAAAACTCTGATCTGACTAGAAAAATGTCAAGGGCAGTGAAAGCACCCACAGCTATTAGAGAACACATATGCAGCCCATCCACCATCTCTCTGCTACTGCGTGTTGTGAGAGCACTCTATTTGTTTTTTTATTAAGATATCATTGATATACAATCACATAAGCAACACTGTGGATACTAGATTGCCTCCATTATCAAGTCCCCCCCACATACCCCATTACAGTCACTGTGCATCAACGTAGTAAGATGCTATAGAGTCACTACTTGTCTTCTCTGGAGAGCACTGTTTTTTTCTCAGTTTCTGTGTAAGGTTTTTTTGTGTTATACTTATTTTCTGCTATTTAAAACTGGCAACATTAATTCTGTATACATTTTCAGCATCAAGGTTCTTCTTTAGGCTTTATTCTTCCTCAGGACATCCTGGGAATCCAATATGCTCTTGGTGATAACCAGCTGTTTCAGTTTGAAAGGAGTTTAAGGTGGAAACGAATTTTAACTAGACATTATTCAATCTTCCACTCCCTTTGATTTGCAAGGTATCCTCTTAGATATCCTTGCCATGATCATTCTGCTCTTTGTAGTCAATGTTTTTCTGCTCCCATTAGGATGACTTGTGCTAAAGACAACTTTTCTTTTTAAAACTTCTAGGTTCTGAAAGTTAATGGAAGGTCAGTTTTATTAGGGAATGGCATTGCAAATCCTGTTATTTTAATAGATTTTGGTGTACCATTATGCATCTCTAAGGCATGTGCATGGAACTCAGAGACTATGATCCAAAATATTTGGAAAATTTATTTCCACTTAGGAAACTGAGAATCTCAGTGGTTGATAAACAGACGGTTAACCAAGAGCCCTGAGTAAATTCTTTCTTTTTCTTTTACCTAATGGAGTTAGGTTTAAAAGATAAAGAAAACTTCCAAAGAAACAGTCCAAATAATTGAAGATGTTTTACCTTGTAAAACATGTGTCTCCTTACTGTTTTCACTAAATTATATACATCCATTCCTGTAATCCAGTGAAACAATAAGAAAATACACTGACTTAAGAACTTCACTACTTCAAATGCACTAAATGTCCCCCCAAACAACGATGATCCTCATGTACTCAAGTAGAAAATAGAATTCTCTCTCTCAGTAAAGATGCACTGGCCAAACTGTACATAATACTAGTAGGTGGAGGCACTGCCTTAGGTACTTCGTACTGGTGATCTTGTTTAAGATACAGAGTCAGTAAAATAGATAGATAATCTCTTATCACACTATGGTCTATCTAAATGGTTACCACCATTCTGCAAGGGCAATTTGACAATGCACACCAAAAGCTTTATACTTTTGTGTGCCTTTTGGATTATGCCAAATGTTTGTCTATAAGGGCATTCACCAAACCATTGTTTATAATGGTAAAAATGTTAGAAAAATTTATTTTTTCAATTATGGTTCAGACACACAATGAAAACATATTGTAGAATAGTAGTTAATGACATAGAAAGCTTTTCATAAGATGAATAATATTAATTTACTAACTTTATAAATTTTGTCTGAATAAATCTAATAGAAATACACTCCCAATCCAAATGTGCCAACCAATAAATAAATATAGAACAGTTTCATAGACTTCTGTTCTTCTCTAAAGCATCATTTCTCTTCTCTGTGTTATTTATTTATACTCTAATTGTTACATTAATTTCCTCTCATTATAGCAATTGTTTTCTTTTTTTACCTCCATTGTAATAATCTCTGTCTCCAGCTTCTGCCCCCACTTTCTCTGACAAATAGTTATTACATTTTCTGGCTCTTAAAATATTTTATGCTTGCTTTATATAAATGCAAGATGTACGGTTAATATTTCAATAAATTTCTGATGCACAACTGTCATGGCTGACTTGAAATTGTGTAACCAGATGGAATCCTTATACTCCCAATCCACTGTTTTCAAATTTTGAACTAAAAGTAATTTATTCTTTATTTGCATCTGTCAAGACAAAAGAGGGCTTTCCTTTTTTCAGTTAATGCCACCCTGATTCATTAGTTGATAAAAAGGCATCCTTTGTAAATTACCTAACTGGCCCATGATGTTCAGAGTTAAGATTTGTCATTACAGTTTAGATTTATGTCCTAATTTATTTTCACGATTGAAAGGTATATAGTGCTTATCAATAAGGTTCATATACCCTTGGAGAATCTATAGCTGGTTGGCTTGCTCATAAAGGAAGACTATAGATCAAAATGGAGTTCAGACAAGAGAATGAGGATAATTAAATGCAAATCCTTTCTCACTACTGGAAAGAAACTGACCTTTGTCAGTAGATGAGTTACATTAACAATTACAAATTTAAATGTCCACAAGGACCAGTTAAATAATGCAAATGAGTGAAAAGAGCTAGATATGTTGTTTTTTCTAAAATATAATATGGTGGGGAAAAAGATGGTAGTGTGAGAAGTGAGTCAGAAATCTCCTAAAACCACATATAACACAAAAATATGGCAAATACAACTAATCCTGAAAGAGTGAACAGAAAGAAGACTGCAACAGATGGCTTACATCTGGGGAAAAGAGAGGACCTCACAGAAAAAGGTAAAGTAGCAAAGCCCCCACCCCAGCTCACTAGCAGGAAGAAGATAAATGGAGTGGAAAGTGAGTAGAAGCCCAAGACTGATAAATGCACAGCCCTGGAGATCTACAATGGGAGCACAAACCCACATTGCATTGTGCTCTGGAGATTAGAGAGGTTGGAAAGCAGGGACAGGAGGATTATTTGGAGAGACTGAGATTCCAGCTGCTTATGGAGAATAGGTACCCACAACTGGCTGCTCTGGAACAAAATAAAGGCAGGTACTTGCAAAGACTTCCCAACAGTGAGAGGGCTGCTAAAGGGGAAAGAATTACACAGAGCTTGCTGCTCAGGAGAAAGGAGAGGTGGAAAAAATCATCTCAGTACACTTAGCCCTGCAAGTTGGAAACTTTCAAGAGATTCAGGTGCTCCATCCCACTGGATAACAAAGCAGTCCAAAGGCCCTTCACCATGATATGCAGCCTGCTGCTCTCCTCCAGGATGGCACCTGATCACAAATCGGCCATTGCACTGAGCCAGCTGGAGGGCAGCCCTGCCTAAGGCAGGTACAGGTACAGAGGCTGTTCCCTCTACATTCAGTGCACTAGCCCTGACAGTGAAGGCAGGCACTGGGGCTAGAGTTTAAGAATGTATGTACACAGTATATGTATTTCAGTGGTGCTTTTGTACTTGTCTTGATTTTAATAAAAGATGTGGCCTTCTTGTTGTTAAGTTTTAGTCATTCATGAATGTCTTTAGAATTCCCTTTCTGTTAAACCTATCTAACTGTCCTCTCAATTATGGTTTTGTCTGTTTGATCACTTGCAACCCACAGGAGAGTTCTAATAAGATGTGCTGATTTCACAAACTGTTGCTAGAATAGAATTCAAAGTTGAGCAGCTGGACCTGGAGAGATCATCCCAAGGTCATTCCAAATTTCTCCTCAATACTATCAAATATATGAGAAGATAATGTGTCACTGGCACTGTACCAGATAATGCAAATCACAAAAACATAAGCAATGAGTGTGATTTTTACTTTTGGACTTATGAAGCATAAACATTTCTATGTTTTATTTCCTTCACAGCTTTGACCAACACTTTTATTAAAGAAATTAATTTGTGCTGATATAAGGATAATATTACTTCACATAAAATGCTTTGAATTTCTGAACTTGTTTTCAGCACACAGAGTACTTTTTAAAAAGTGACTACAAAGGATTAATAGCATTTATCAGGTCACAGAAACATTAGAAGCCACTTAGAAGAATCACATATGTAACCTCCATGTACTGAAATGTTTGGGAACTAATTGTCCCAGGCATCTAATACTAGCCAGGGAAACAGCTTTGTGTGCGTCAGCCCCATAAGCCAACAATCTCAGTTAATGTTTTAAAGAGCAGGCAAGCAGGTTTTATTGAAAAATATTAAGTAATATGTATGTTTGTAATAATTTGGAGATCATAAACTTAACTGATTTAAATATAAATAGTTTATATGAAATGAAAAGCCCATACAGGATGAAAATTATAATAGTGACAGATTCTCCAATAACAATATAAGGCATCTCTGAGAATTTTAAAGTTTTGTAAAACAATTTCATCTTTGCTGCTTTTCAAAGGAGATTATAAAAGTGGATAACAGGAATAAGGAAATGGCTAACAAAGAACTGAATTTAAATAATAGTGTAAATTAAAAGTAGATTATTTCTAATATTAGTTACCATTTAGCTGTGTTTCACTAACATTAAAACTACATCTAGAAATCATGGATTATGACAGTTATCGAAAATGAATAAATATATTACTGTTATAATTAAAGAAAGTTTTCACCGTTGTCTTAAGATTTTTAAATATTTCTGAAATCAGTGGGTCCCTGGAGTAAAAAGAAGCAACAGGAAGAGAAAACAGCAGCATCCCAAAGGACCTGGATGAATAGTAGAGAAGGATGGTTCCTCTACAATATGCTTGACAGAAGAAGGAAGCTTGGGGCTTCCACTTGTGTGGTTAATAAATGCATAAAAGAAAAGCAACACTGCCATTTTAAAAGAAAATAAGCATTTGAAAACAGATAATGGAAATTAACATGACAATCTTCTTGTGTATTTGTAAGAATATTTTAAAATTCCTAACCAGAAATGTAGTACGTTTAGAGTAAACAAATCAGAAGCTGAATTTAAAAGTTATTTTTTGGAGTGTGTGCATGCATGCATGCATGTGTGTGTGTGTGTGTGTGAAATGGCATAACAGAAAACTCTGATCTGACTAGAAAAATGTCAAGGGCAGTGAAAGCACCCACAGCTATTAGAGAACACATATGCAGCCCATCCACCATCTCTCTGCTACTGCGTGTTGTGAGAGCACTCTATTTGTTTTTTTATTAAGATATCATTGATATACAATCACATAAGCAACACTGTGGATACTAGATTGCCTCCATTATCAAGTCCCCCCCACATACCCCATTACAGTCACTGTGCATCAACGTAGTAAGATGCTATAGAGTCACTACTTGTCTTCTCTGGAGAGCACTGTTTTTTTCTCAGTTTCTGTGTAAGGTTTTTTTGTGTTATACTTATTTTCTGCTATTTAAAACTGGCAACATTAATTCTGTATACATTTTCAGCATCAAGGTTCTTCTTTAGGCTTTATTCTTCCT